GCTCGCCCCGCCTGCCTCGCCTGGCATTTCGGCCCGGCACACACAAGGTTGAAATAGTTATCGCCCTAGTTGGCCGAGTTATCGTATTTACAATTCAGTTATGTTGACTTATAGACTAGTTATATAAGTAGAACCTAACTAGAACCTAATTAGAACCTAACTAGAACCTAACTAGGAACTAACTGAACCTAACCGATCTCAACTAAAACCTAAGCAGAACCATCAAAAAACAGGCTTTCTTTTGTAATAGAAAATCTGAATTTGATAATGAGGTTCATGCTGTTTTATTCTTTGTTCTTGCTACTTTTTTAGAATTCACAAATTTCTGTGCGATTTTCGCGGGTTTAGGGTTTAGGGTTTAGGGTTTCATTGAATTTATTATGCAGGCATGCAACGCAAGCAAGCTGTGGGAGTACCATGCTATTAGGCATGCGTGGCACGCAATGCATGGCAGCAGCGCAAGCATCTTCATGGGAACTATATAAGCTACACAGATTTCACACGCAGGCCGGACAGCATGCAGGTGCAGGCAAGCAAACGCATGCTGAACGGGAACTATATAAGCTACACAGGTTTCACGCGCAGGCCGGACAGCACGCAGGTGCAGGCAAGCAAACGCATGCTGAACGGAAACTATAAGCCACACAGGTTTCACGTGCAGGCAGGACAGCGCGTGCAGGCAAGCAAACGCATGCTGAGCGGTGAAATGCTGCATTTCACGTTGCGGTTTCAGCAGTAATAGTATGTTTTCAAAGCAGCACGCGCCATCCTTCTCTATCCTTGGCCGTGAGGCAAGGTAGCTTGCTGACGCGTTTAGCTGGCAGCACTATACATTCCAGACCTGCGCTGCAGGTAAATTCCAGTCACCCTAACACGTGAGTCTTTGACTCAGGCGCCGCGCGCAGTGCGAAGCTTGGATGTCACCTTTTTTTCCGTTGCGGCTCACAAGCAAGATGTTTTGAAAGCAAAGCAAACCTAAAAATGATAGAAAACTGGGAGCAGACACGGGGTAGACACAGTGGAGACGCGTGTCTACCTCCCACCTGTGTCTACCTCTCCCGGGCTGGCCTCCTCTTTAGTTTAGTATTATTTGAAATCCGTGTCTACCCCTCCCTGGGCCGGGGCCGGGGGAGAGACACAGGGTAGACACAGGGTAGACGCAGAAACTAGGCTCGAAAACTGGGCCGGGAACTTACACGGTGCAAGAAAAAACGAAAGCAAAACTGGGCAAGCACAGCAGGCACTGCAAGCAGTTCTGTGGCGTTCTGTGATCTTGCCGTGCTTGAGTGGTGAGGGTTGTTTTGCTGGCCAGCAAGCAAAATCCGCCTGCAACTTCGTGCTGCGCAGGTCACGCCGCGCATGCAACTGCAGCTATATGAGAGCGGGGCGCAAAAATTTACCTCCGAGCACAGCGTCTTTGCAAAATCCAAAGTTTCCGAGACTTTCGAAACTGCGCGCTGCGCGTGTGCGCACAAACACAAGCACGCCGCAGGCATGCAGGCACGCATGATCACTTAAGCGGCTAAGCCGCTCCACATGTGCGCACGCAGGCGGCAAGGCCGCTCCACATTTGGAGATTAAGAATCATGCAGTATGCAAAACCATGCAATCCACGCATGCAAACAAGCCAGCATGCATGCAAGCCTATAAGCAAAAACCCTAAACCCTATACCCTAAACCCTAAACCCTAGGCGGCACGGCGCTCAAACAAGCGAGAGACTTTATAACTTCAATGAAAGAAAAGCACAACGCATTCCTTTGGCAATCGTATATAGGGAAACTGATACGGCTGCAAAGCCAAACAAGTCGACGTGCATTCAGTCAGCAGCGCAGATTTGAGCATGCAAGTACGCCGTGATTGCCGGTGGATGCAATTTTGGCTCGGAATTCGATGACAGCATATAACTAGGTCCATGGGCCCTTTTCAAACACTGCAAAACCAAAAAGTCCAAAAAGGAAACTAAAACGTAACTAAAACTTAACTCGAACTTAACTGGACCCTAACTAGGACATAACTAGGACGTAACTAGGACATAACTAAGACTTAACTAGGATTCCTATTTATGTTACACTTACCGTAACTAGGATCCTATTTACTATTTATAACGAGGATAAGTATAATTATCCTGGTTATAAACATTCTTAGCCTACTCACATACTTATTGCCGAGCTTAGCATAATTATTGCCGAACTTGTCATACTTATAAGTTTAGCAATAACTTTGATAACCTCGGCCATAACTATTTCAACCTTGTGTGCAGGGCTCGCTTGCACATCCGAAGCATTTCCTGACAACAGTGCCCGCCTGTGTCTGCGTTGCACCTTTTACATGTTTGGTTGACCAGCACGCGTATAAGCTAGAACGTGACATGTTGTTTTTTGTCATGCATGTTTTAGCTTAACGAACTGTACAACCCATGTGTTTTACGTCGCCGCTAGCTGGTCAAGCAAAACATGTTGCAGCAGACATGCACGTCATGCATGTGCATAAGTTTCACCCACCCTCCACACCCGGGGGTTACGAGCATAGCTCGCCCCGCCTGCCTCGCCTGGCGTTTCGGCCCGGCAGGGCTCGCTTGCACATCCGAAGCATTTCCTGACAAAACAGTGCGCGCCTGCATCTGCGTTGCACCTTTTACGTGTTTGGTTGACCAGCACGCGTATAAGCTAGAACCGCCAAGAATAGCTCGACCAAAGCTGAGAGAAATCGAATCCCGGGTCACCATTAGAAGGCCAACCTGTCCAGAATTCCACTGGTGAAAGCGTTGGTTCAGCGAAGAAGTGCGGCCCATAGCCGAGTGGTTGCTAAGTTGAGAAGTTGCCAGCTTAGGTTGAAGATTTCATGGCAAGAAAAGGACAGGAGTGTTTTTCTTGTTTGCCCTTCATTTTCACTCGATTACGACACTGAACTGCTCATCTAAATCCAAAGCGGAAATTATTCAAGACCTTTTGCTTGCAAACGCTGGCAGTATCACCTTTGCCGATTGTCAAGATGGAACTTTCATGTCCGCTTTTGCCAGCGCATCGTGTTGTATGATGTGGTGACCCACGTGGGCCCCTACTTTCAACATGCCGGGAACCCACCGCTGACTTCTGGCTAAACTTAGATTCTTGTGAACATGGGTCTTCTGCTTTCCATCTTGTCAAGTGTTGCTTGGGGTTGATAGTTTGGGCAGTCGTCCAAGTCAGTGTTTAGTCTCAGCCTGCCGACTGGATGGGCTGTGGTGCCTCCCTAGAACCTCACCTTCCTCGGCCTGTCCCAAGGCGCCAGCTTCCGCGAGCCGCAGTAGGCGATGGCAATCGTTTCCGAGCTCTCTCCGTGGAGTTCCTCTGCGGTGGGATGCTCTCGGAGCTCAGGGTGAAAGAGCACCTTTGCATGTATGACATCGAGCCGGTAATCCGCCACGCGGGCAAGGATGTCATCTGTCCACGCGATGGGAAGCTTGGTGCAGCCTATGTGGATGTGGCAGAGGACCCGCATGCGGGGAGAGCTACTTGCATGTTGTCCTACACCTGGGGTTATGAAGTGCACACGATTTCGAGCGCTTTGATGACTCACTGTCGGCGGCTTCGCGAGAATCCGCAGCAGATTCGTGTCTGGATTTGTGCCTTCTGCGTTAACCAGTGGCGGGTACAGGAGGCTGTAGCTCAAGGAGCGAAGGTGCCTTTTGAATTCTTTCAAGCTGAGTTTGCCGACAAGGCGGGTTGCTTCAAGGTTTCGCAGTTTAGGGCCAGCGAAAAACCGCTGTTGCTAAGTTATCTTTTCTTTGGACTGCCTCAGGGCTTTCTGGGCTTTTGATGGCCAGACCCTTGCCAGGTGAAAAGCATTGGGAAGATCTTGGCCTTAATAACGCCATGGGACAACCCACTCTATTTGACTAGGGCCTGGACGATTTTCGAGTGCTACATGGGATCCGCGGATGAGCACATCGACTTCAAGTTCATTCTGCCAGAGTCCGACGAGAAGTCCTTTTCTGAAGTCCTGAGGCGGGACTCCGCCATCTCGACCCTTTCAGCGATCTTCAAAGCCATCTCAGAGCTGCGTGTGCAAAAGGCCCAAGCCCATTATACGGATGACAGGAGGACTGGGGTCGGCCCGTGCTTTTTTTTTTTTTTTAGCTTTTTCGCCGTGTTTTTTGGCATCAAGAGTTGAGGAAGATCCATCCCAATCTTTGTTTTGGGGAAGGAAGAGGCGGGGGGATGGCGTAGCAATCACCCTGAGGAATGTGATGAAAGTCTTGACTGGTTCAGCTTTAGACGAGCGGCAGCTCGATGCGCTGCTGGAAGATCGTCTCGAAGGTGCTGATGAGCTTGCAGTTGAGGAAGCTTGCAAAGAGATCAACTTGCATGTAGTGCGTAAGCTGCATGAGCGCTTCATTGACAGCGGGCTGGGGGTTCTGGAGTTGGAGGTGGATAGATGTCTGACTGGCTTTTCTCAGATTGGTTGGATGTGCAACCAAATTGGGATGTACGATGAAGGTCTGCAAAGTCTTAACACCGGCATTGACACGGCCCGAGCCTTCTATGGTGCTTCCAGCAAGATGAGTGAGTCCAACGCCCTTGCGCTCATCGGTCTTCTCCGGGCAAAAGCCAAGCTGTTGACGTACCGAGGGTCCCGCTCCAAGGCCAGCAATCAACAGGCATTTGAAGAGGACTTCGACAATGCCTATAAGCTTTATTGGCAGGCCAAGGAGCTGCTGGAAGAGAATCATCTCTCCACGATCTCGACCCATTATGCTGAAGTTCTTGGGGACCTCAGCATTTGGCATGGAAAGAAGGGGGATGTTGGAGCCGCCATTGACATGGGGCTGCTGGCCAAGAAAGCCTTTGAAGACAGCCACTGGACTGAGACCGCAATGTATGGCAACATTCTCAAGAGCATAGGTATCAGCTATCATCTCCGTGCACGTGCATGGTCTTCGAAAGCACAGCTCTCTATGAGTGAGGGTAGCGAGACCAGTGTGGAGACCTCCGCTTGTGAGGACTATCGACTGGCAGGAGACATGTACGCACAATCAGAGGCCTTGTTCATCCGAATCGCTCAGAATAGGAATCCTTGGTACCTGGACCTGTTGACTCAGCGAGGAAAGCTGCTCGCAGAGCAAGGCAGGCAGGAGGACGCGCGCAAGAAATTCTTGTCGGCCAAGAGGCAATTCGAAGCACTCGGACTCCAGAAAAGTCCCCAGTACGATGAGGTGCAAGAACTTCTGGCGCAGGACGATGACTACTTCTCAATGTGAAAAGCCTGCCAAAAGAGCAGCTGAGTGACTTTAGTGCAAGGGGTATATGCAAGAAGCGGCAACAAAGAAAGCTTGTCATGTCTGCGGGATACCTGCGATCCTAGTGAACTTGTGATTCCCATGTCGATTTGGTTTGGGGGTGACGATTCCTCGCGACCCTGCCGCAGCCAAGCAGGCTTTCAGAATGCATCGGCAGAATGTCACAAGTACAGCTTTTGTCCCAAATACTAGGGCCCTGACGTGGATAGGATACTATGGCAAGCTCACTCAAAGTCATCATGTGGTTCTTTATTGCCAGAACCGCGTATGTTCTGCTGTGCCTTCCAGTAGCGGGGTCTTGAAGTATCAAAAGGAAGCTTCAATAGTCATACGCACCCATCACAATGTTGCAGGGTCAAGTAAACAGGATGCACGAAGTGCACTAGGATCAATTACCTTAGGCCGAGGGAGCCGCAGCGAGCAGATGTAGGACTCGCTCACCAGGACCTTTCGCGCCATGACTGGCCTGAAACCTTGAAACCAGATCCCTAAACCGACAACGATTCGCAGGGGCAGTCCTTGAGGTTGCTGTGCTCCTATAGGGTCGCATAAGTCCCCGTGTTGAAAACAAACGCTTCTGGAGTTCCTGAATTTGGTGCATGTTGAAGAGGGTTTGCCCTTGCATGTCCCCGAAAGCTTTGCACCGTGCGTGGGGCCAACGCTCGATTTTGGGAGCCAGCCATGGAGTGGAAAGCTTGAACCTTTTGGAAGCCATGTTGCATGCCAAAACCAACGAAAGGCTAGAAGTTTATCGACAATCACTCCAAGCATGAAGGGACGCTCTCCTAAACCCTGAAACCTCCCCAAAATATCCTCAAAACCCGAAACCCTGAACCCTAAATCCTAAAGTACTCAAAACCCTAAGCCCCTGAAACCCTGAACTCTAAATCCTAAAGTACTCAAAACCCTAAGCCAGGAGCTGCGAGTGAATGCTAAGACCCAAGAGCTGCGACCATGAAGTCTGCGAGCACCAGACCGGAAGCTCGGACGAGGAGGCCCAGGGTGTGATTGGGGTTTGGGGTGTTTGGGTGTTTAGGGTTAAGGGTTTGGGGTTTAGGGTTAGGGTTTTGGGCTTAGGGTGTAGGATTTCGGGTTTAGGGTTGGAGGTCTCGGTTTTGGGTTTTGGGCTTAGGATTGGGGGTTTGGGGGTTGAGGGCTTGAGGTCTAAGGTTTGGGTTTAGGGTTTAGGCTTGGGGTTTGGGGGTCTAGGCGGTCTAGGGTTCGGAAATTTTCTGCGGCTTGGAGGTCAGAAGGGAGTCAGGTTTGGGGTTTCTTGGGGCAAGTTTCTGAAGCCTGATGAGCCCTCAACCTTAAACCCTCTTTGTTGAGTATGGCTTCTTGCATATATGTTGTGTGTATGTATGCACAGGTCCGTGCTTTTGGGTCGGGGATGGTGATGAAATTCCACTCGTGACGTCTTTGCAAGGTAGTTGGAGAGTCGGGTTCATTCTGTGTTGTGAAGCCGCATGTGGCTGCTCTTGTTGAGATGCGCCTGCCGGCGACAGTTGCGCCTGAGCATCCTCAAGCCTGCCGGCACACGTGGCCAATTCCCTTTTTGTAAACAAAAGATATTCACATTGTAGTGCAATGTTTACGAAGACGGGTATTTGTTGTTTGGGTGTAAGTTTAGCTATGTCATTGTGTTTTGAAGGAGGGGACTCATCACTCAGAGTATCCAGTATAAAGTCCATCTATAACTATGCTATGGACGATCAACAAACCCAATTCTGTTGACTAAGGTCTCTGCATTATCCGACGAAGCTAGCTATTTTCCTAAGCACCCGATCTCTCAGTGGTGATGAGCTTGCGACATGTCCACGCGACTTGCCAAAGTATAGGAGCTCTCCAAAAGGAAGCCCCCCCCGCCAGAAGTGAACGCTTGTGATTCAATTGGGTTTTGCATATGAGCTATAGTCTAAACTCCGAGTATCCCCCTTAATAAGACCTGTAAATAGGATCCCTATATATAACTCCCTATGTATTCCCCCTAGAAGGAGTTTGGACTATAGATCATATTATTCTTGGTAGGGTGTTGCGTTTCTGGAGCGTTGTAGTCATGACCGTCTTTGATTGTTGAGAGAAGGTCTTTAACCCCGGTCGGATGTTCACAGTGGATGTGATGATAGTTGCATTATAGAATAAGTTTCGTTTATTTCTGAATTGCCCTTTCTACGTGACATAGCTCTTTACCTTTCCCCGTTTTTAGCACAAGGATGGTATAACACAGCCCGTTACATTCAACACTGTTCTTTGCCAGGCTTACGCCATAGCTTCCTGAAATCAGAATGCTCAGGCTTAGAGGATGACTTCCATGTGCCGCTGCCAGGAGTTCAGCATCAAAGACTTCCATGCTGATGGCTATAATGGAGCGGTGCCTTGGCCTTTTGATGGTGGCTGCTGGGGGGTCCAGGGTTCAGGGCTGCTTGCATCTTGTCAACCCCCAGAACAAAATATATAGGGATTGTAGTATGGGGATTATATAGGGGTTATATAGGATTATATTCTAAAACCCTTATTCCCTACTAACCATCACCAAGTTACGCCTTGTGCAGGTCCCTTTCCACCATCCCAGGCTCCAAAACTTCGTCGGAAGGCGTGGGCTTCAGAGCTGAGCAGGGAGCCACCAGGGGAGGTTTCTACTGGGTTTGGGGTTTAGGGCTAAGGGTTCAGGGATTTTGTGTGAGCTTAGGGTTTAGGGTTCGGGGTCTGCTCAGTAAGAATGCCTTCCAAGCACAGCTCGAAAGGATCATGCCTCGATGAAGGGTAATGAGGCCTGAATGACTCTGTGGTTAGGCCATGCTCACATCTTAAGGATAGTCAGGGTCAGACATGTCTTGGTGAAGCGCTGTGGGGGCCAACAGGCCGTCTTTCTTCTCATAACGTGACGATGATCGAAAAGGGCCATGTTAAGATGATGTTGGGATACTACGAGGAGGATGCCAGGAGACAAGGTGTCAAGGCGTCCTGGTGTTTGTGGCTCTTGGCCTTTGAAGATGTGGGTCTTGAGGCATTTACTTTCCACAATCTGGTTGATGTGCGGTTTCACAACTTTGTCAAGCCATTCATAGATCGAAAAGCTTGCAAGTACCTTTGAAATTCTGGAATTGGTGGTCTTTGAAGCAGTTGAGTTGAATCCCGGAGCCAGCCAATTTCTGATGTGTGTAGCTCCCCTTGAGCACCAGCCCAACCCCTCAGCGGCCCCCTCGAGGCCTCCGAGTCCTCACCGCGAGCCTTTGAGTTGCAGCATTTGATCCTCAGAGGCGCTCATGGGTTTAGGTTTCAAGGAGGTTTCGGTGAGCGTTGGGTGTTTGAATAGTGAATAGCGTAGGGTAGAGGAGCTTGAGCGGGAGTTCTTCTGTACAGCCCGGTCTCAAAATGCAGGCTGCAGAGGCCTTTCTGGTGTTCGGAAGGACACAAAATTTCAAAAAGGCAACTGCAAGGGCGTCACATGAAGTTCCATGTTTGGTTTATTGCGTGGATAGAGGGTTCTTTTGTAATGTAAGATGGCGCCTTTCGCAACTTTGCAGCTCGAAGGATGGCCTTTAGAACCTCTGCACAAGACCTGAGGCTGAACAGAGAGCATCACTTCCACTTCTGTCTGGGTCGACATGTGATGGGCATCAAGTGCAATCCTTACGTTGAAGCTCATAGGGCGCCTTGAAGGATGTTGTGCAATGGGATTCCAACGTGTTGTGAAGTTAAGCCAGACGAGTTTAGGGGGAGCATTGCAGTTCATTGCGTTTAGGCAGGGTGGCCCCGTGCGCTGAAAGGTTCTTTGCCCCAATGCAGTCCGCCTCCGACATCAAACAGGCGCTGGTGCTACTTATTGCGTTTGTCAAAGTGCTGTTCTGGTGTTCAACTTTCTGATAGGGGTCGGATGTGGGAAAATGAAATCTAGGGGCTCAAGCCTCATTTTTTCATCAACTCTTCATCCAGGAGTTTATTTTTGGGTCCCGGTGGCTGCTTGCAGGATTTTATGTCGTTGATGTTGTTGGCCCAGGTGCAAAGGCAAACCCAGCAAATCTTATGCCAGTAGATGATCAGTTTGGTAGTTGGTCCTACAGGATTTAGTTCGGTGCACAACGCAGCATCCCACTGTGATAGAGGGTGGCAGTTTCGACGACAAAGACGACAAAGTCTGAGCCAGGGCTGGTGACGGCAAAGACAACAAAGCTTGAGCCGCCCGCTGTGATGGGAGGCGAGGGTTTCGACGACAAAGCGATCGACCACAAAACCTGAGCTTCCCGCTGTGATAGTGCGAAGGCGGGGGCTGGCGACGACAGCCCTTGAGGAGGCCTGCCAAAATTTTGGGTCTGCGGCTTAGGCTCAGAGGATTTTATCTCAGGTCCCATGAACACTCAAAATCGGTGATTCCTGAGGGCCCCACTTCATGCCCCCAGGAATTTATCCGGATACAATCCAGGGGACAACCCCCCCTATGTATGTCAACCCCTATCGTCCTGTCCGTAACATGTGGGCCGGACTCCAAAGGTTTGTGGAAGGAGTTTGAGATGAATTCGAAGGTCTAGCTGTCCATGCCATGGATCATGTTGCAGTGATAAGGTTGTGGACATGGTGTACGGGCATTCAATTTCGCGTGGTGGAGAATGCATTTCCGGTAATGCCCCATAGGTAGTGGACGTGAAGATCTTTCTCAACAAAAATCGTAAACATGGTGCTCTGGCTGAGGATGTGAGGGCGAACTATGCTTATAACCCGCTGTGGGGATGAAAGTGTAACTCTTTTTACCCAAAGACATTTTTTGATCCCCGCGCATCAGGGCCTAGACCACGTAGGCATGAAATACGGGGATCCCTCATGTCTGAAGTCGTTTCTAGAGCACTCGCCAAAAAGGATGGAATCCCAGAGCTTTAGAAAGCGCTTGCGCTAGATATGGACTCCTAAACCCTCAAGTCCTAAGCCCAGAAAGCCTATGGTGATCATCAACATTCAAATGTAGA